TATAAAATTTATTTATAAATGAATCATGTCTCATTGCACATAATTATTTATCATTTATTTGAAAAGGAAAATAACTAAAAAATTATTTTATAATTTAAATTATATCAAATTATAAATTATAAACGCTTAAATAAAAGACAAGTTTGTTGACATTAAGGCCTTCCTACTGTATAAAAGAATTGATGACTAAATTAACATAGGGCATGCATAATGAATTTCTACAAAAGAATTGATGAGTACTCTGTACCTTTAAAATAATTGTTTTACTAGTTTTTTATATTACATAAATATTAATTGTTCACAAAAATATGAGATACTAATTGTACTAGAATATTAATTAATTATTTATCAGGATATGGCATAGGTAGGCAGAATCGTTCAACGTATTATATATTTATAATTATAAAGTAAAACTAATTGAAAAATAATAATTTAAAATAAAACTCACAATATATAAAAAATAATTAAAATATCTGAGTATACTATAATTAATCAATATAAATTTTAAAGTATCATATTTTTACAATAAAATTTTCTATCTCTATTTATTTTTTAAATTGTACTAAATTTACTTTTACCTATTAACTCAGTAGATCTATACGTGAACGATCCCTTGCCCCGTTGGTTCCGTCCCAGCTTGCCACTTCCCAGAAGTGCTCCAAAGGAGTCCCAAAAACACTCGAAGAGTTCCCGAATCCCAGTAGAACCGCGCCAAAAGTCTCAGAAGCGCAACCAAATGCTTCTTCATTCTGAACTCCCTAGTGCCGACACATTTAGTAAATCGATGAGTAGAGTCCGCGTCGGACTTTTGGGCCAAAATGCAAAATCGCTTAACGGCAAAAAGGACAGTACTGGTCCCTAACTTCTGATTTCTCTGCACTTTAATCGTCATATTTTTTATCTATGCAATTTGATATTAAAAGTTATGATTTCTTCCAAATTATGTGAAATCAAGTAAATTCTTATAAAATTCATTCAAATATCAATAATAGCAAGATAAAAATTTCATATTAATATTTATAAAATTCCAATTTATCAAGTATATTGTCTACTGAATTTTTTAACTCATTTTTTAAAAATTTCATCTCATTTTAAGTACTATAGAATAATCCATAGGATTGCACCGGGATTATTTAACTTTGTGAAATATTACAGTTATTCACTTTATGTTATTGGTTAATTAAGTTGGAGTATATTATTTAGAGATTATTTGAGGTTCTAAGTCTAAGATTGAATTATTAAGGGTATGATTTAAGTGGATAAATCTATAAAAAAAAGTGGCTTAATTCAATAATTGGTCTATTAACTATTAGCCTAATTTTAATTTCGTCTAAAAAGTTAATTTTCTTTCTAAATAGTCTATAAACTTTGTAAAATATTTTAAAATAATATATTGTATAAAAATTCTATTTGTTTTAACAGATAAAAAATTGAAAAGTTAAATCAAAATCAAAATAGTCCAATCAACAAAGCAGTTTACAAATAGATTATGCCAACTATTAAAATATGTAAATAATCATGATTTCTACTATAAAAAAGTTGTTAAAAGAAAAAACTGAAGCAATAAGTAATAAAAGTTATAGTTTCTTCAGTAGTGAAAAGGAGTTTATCATCTTTACAAAATTAGTTTTATCTCAAAATTAAAAATTCACAAAAAAATATAATTGAAGGTCAATTTGACCAAATAGAGTGAAATTGTTGATAGAAAATTAACAAACCAACTAAATTGAAATAAAAGTGAAAGATAGTAGATGAATATAAAAGTATATAAAGATAATAGACAAAACGAAAAAAAAAAAAAAATACTAAGCTATTAATTAAATTAAGCCATAAAAAAATTGTAAAGATTTACATTTTAGATAGCCTTTTGTGTTTGTATCGGTTTGCGGCTTTTGTCCTCTCTTGACCTATGAGTTTGAGCATGACAAATTTCCAATTGCTTTGCTTTGTAACCGGCTGTATGGCGTTGCCTAGAATTTTCACAATCCTGAACAAAGCTAGCCGATTATTTTCCGCAACTTTCTGAGATTCTTCTTTAGGAGAATATGCAAGCCAAACATGCCCTAACTTATTTTCTCTGTAGGAAAACAATTTAATTTGATAAATTGTCTATTAATTATTGATATTTTTTAATTTTAATCTAAAATTTTTATTTTTTTTCTAAAGTTGTCTATTAAGCTTCCAAAATTATATCAATTTCATCTACTTAAAAAAACCCATTAGTTAGATTGACAGTAGTTCATGTCATTGCTCACATGGCATTGTGTAAGCTGCAGCATAAGCAATGCATAACTTGAAAATAGAAGGAAGATTCTTGTCTGTTGACTTCCCTAACCTAATTAGCAACAAATAATTAAATTATAATCTAATCTAATTTAAAAAAACTTAATCAAACTAACAAAAATAAAATTAATCAGGCCTCATGCTATTTATTGACAGCTTATGCAATGCTACACAAGTGATGACATGAACTTCTATTAATCTTACTAGTGGAATTTTGTTAGTTAAAAACTAAGATAAGTTTAAAAATTAATAGATGACTTTAAAAAGAATTTAGGTTAAAATGAAAAAGTATTAATCATTAATAGTTGATTTGTTAAATTAAAGCCACAAGAAAACATGACATTCGTAAGTTGCAAATAATACGGCCCGTTGGAAGGCCCAGTCCAATCTTACCGAGGGAAAATATATACAGTGCAGGGTGCACAACGCGTGGCAGCATCAGTCTCTTCTACGACGCCGTCTCACAATGCAACTCGTCTTTTGCTTTTTCTTCCTCTGATTCTTCACTCTCGTTTCCTTCTTCCACTAAAGCTAATGATTTGGGTGGAACAATTTTTCTGTTGTTACTTTTATTTATAATTTATATATATTATTTAATAAATAAATACATATAATATAATATTAATAATATTAATAAAATAAAAAAATTAATTATTAAATAACATTAAAATTGTATAAAAAATTATCTAAAAATTTATCACTCAATTCAACTAAATGGGACTAACGGCAGACTGTCCTTATAAGCCCACTAGTTAATAATTAGTTTTAGGATCCGTTTGGTATAGTGATTTTGGGGTAGCGGTTAACGATATTACTTAAATCATTAAATATAAGTATTTAGTAAACTTATATATTTTGAAACTGTTACAAATAAAGTATTCGGTAAAATTTTTATTTAGCAGTTAGAGATTAACAGATAGTGATTAGGATCATAACCGCTAGCGGATTGAAAAAACTAGTTTATGTAACTTTTTGTACCAAATTGCTGACGGATTAAAATTTTTTAATTTTATTGACAAACTTATTCATTTTAATTTTTTAATTTTTGGTCGTATTTTTTAATTAATATTTATCTAATAAATTTTAATTTTGTTTTTTTACCTTTAATAATATTAAGTGATTATAATATTTTTTGTACATTAATTTATAATTAAAAAATATATTA